GTGTGTGTGTGTGTGTGTGTGTGTGTGTGTGTGTGTGTGTGTGTGTGTGTGTGTGGATCTGTATGTATGTGTGTGTAGTTGTGTGTAAATGTGCACTTAACAGTCACCATTATCATGACTACCACCATCCTCATCCATCACGTCATCTGCACACACGTACCCACACACTTACACACACACACACACACACACACACACACACACACACACACACACTTACATGACCGCGACCGCTGTTCAGAGCGACTGGGAGTGCAACATTGGCGAGGAGGTGCTGCAGCTGCGCGTGTGCGGGACAAAGACGCCGTGTATCCTCGCGCTTGGTCGTACGTCGCTCTTCTGGATTGCGGACGATGGCTCCCTTCTCCGTTCAAATCGCATCGAATCCCCGTTATCTTGCTGCCTGCCCTTCAGATGCGGTCTGTTCTTGCGTCACGCGTGTGCGCGATTGTGTGTGTGTGTGTGTGTGTGTGTGTGTGTGTGTGTGTGTGTGTCTGTTTCTGTGTGTCTGTCTATCCGTCTGTCTATCCGTCTGTCTGTTTCTGTGTGTGTGTGTGTGTGAGTGAGTGTGTGTGTGTGAGTGAGTGAGTGAGTGAGTGAGTGAGTGAGTGTGTGAGTGTGTTTCTGCATGTGTGGGCTCTTTCTAGCGCTGTTCACACATGACGCAATCACCACCTCTCTCCACTCTCCTTCCTCACTTCAACCATCACCACTCACCCCCGCTCTCATCTCCACCTCGTCACACGGCAACCCCCCCCCCCCCTTACCAGTCGGCGAGAGTGCGCATGTGGTTGTGTGCGGGACGGACGGGATTGTGCGTGTGATGCACGACAAGAAGGTCGCGTGGGCCGCGGGCGGCGCTGGCTCGCCCGTCGCCGTCGCCACCACCACCCAGTGGTCAGTCCCATTGCACACGTTATGTGTGTCTTGTTTGGGTGTTTGGGGAGGGGGAGCGGGTGTTGACTTGTGCTCGTGTGTGAATTGTGCTTGTGTGTGAATTGTGCTTGTGTGTAAGTGATTGTTAGCGAGTGTTAGCGAGTGTATATGTGTGTGTTTGTTGCGGTTATCTGTTTGCCCTGGCAGTGTCTACTTATCTCCACCTGGCACCAAACGTGTGCCTCGCGTGCGTATCTTGCTTCTCACCATCATCACCACGATCATCATCACTACCACCACCACAGCGGCGTGAAGGGACTGCTGACACTGCTCGGTTCGTTCGTTTACCGACACACCATGACCATGCCACTTCTTCTGCTCGCTCGTCCTCATGTGGCTGTCACCAGTCTCGCTTATCTGCTTTGCTCGCACCGAGATCTCACGCGCTGTTGCTCCGCCGTTCTATACATGTGTTGTGTCGCGTTTTGCTCCCCATGTGCGTGTGCGTGCACGCGTGTGTAGATGAGAATGGGACGCTGTCTGTCGTCTATCTTGGAACAGACCCCCGCCTACCTGTCCTCAAATCGCAGAACGAACACAACTACGAGGTGGCACTCCACCTCGCCTGCCAGTTGAACTTGCTGAATCGTGTGGCATTCACGTACAGCACACTTGAACTTTTGCTTGCTGGGATTGGCGTCACGAAACGCCTTTTCGTCACTCCACATCCCCTCTCTTTACGCACGCACACTCACGCACACATTTGCTTGCAGGCAATGGATTCCGAGCTGAAGAGACTGCAAAAGATCATGTCTGCCGCCAAGGACGGAAGTGCGTTTTGCTTTGCAAGTAACGGTATATGTGAAGTCACACGGACTGCTGGGAAGAGCATATGTTAAGACGACACGCTACCTGTCGCCGTTCATTTGTATTTACACGTGTGTGTGTGTGTGTGTGTGTGTGCTCTTGCGCGTGTGTTTGCAGAGCTGAAGACGGTGCCGGATGCGCAGCTGCAGGTTGAGATCTCGGACTTCTACCCCGTCGACCCCGTGCGTGCACTGGAGAATCGGGCTGGGGCGTGGGGGGGGGGAGAATGGGAACGGGAAGACATGCATTGGCGTGGCTGTTAATTCAGGACACACGCACATGTTCGTCCGACAGTGACCGTAGCGGCAGTGGTGATCGCAGCAGTTACAGAGAACCGAGTCTCATTGAATTGTATGAATGCGTGCACACAACGTTACAGGTGCGGAGTGAGGTGGATCCAAGCGCTGTCTTTCAGACAGGACTCACGGTACGAAGATTCTAAGCGTGTTTCATTGTGCCAATGTCTCAACAGGACAACACACACACACACACACAAGCTAACACCCGCCCTGTGCACGTGTGTGTGTGTGTGCGTGTGCGTGGTGCAGGTGTCGCTGTCAGCACCGGCGGGCTACGTGGCGACAGATGTGGTCATGCGCATCGTGTGTGAACGGCCCCTCATCTGCGATCAAGTCGCCATCAACTTTGAAGACCAAGGTCTGCTGCTGGGTGCCCTTGATATCGAAGGGTGGTGCCGCGAGCGGCAGCAGTGCTAATGTTGTTGTTGTTGTCTGATGATGGTGATGTTTAAACCCCGATGTGACTGTTGGCAACAAAGCAGTTTGATTGAATTCAAGTGTAATCGTGTTCACGCCCTCTGCGTAAATGCTCACTCTCACGTAACACCTGCGACATACACACGCGCTACTTCATTGCCCCCCCACCTCCTCCTCCTCTTCCACCTCTCGACTGCAGCGATTGATGAGGAGACGGCTGTGGATGTGCGTCTGGCGTTTGCCTCTGTTGTCGGCGTGCCCGTGTCCTCGCTGCATGCCGCCCTCTCCATCACATACACCGTCAAAGGTGCACTAGATCCCCATACAACTAGTTGTCCTCGTGTGTGTGTGTGTGTGTGTGTGTGTGTGTGTGTGTGTGTGTGTGTGTGTGCGTTGGCTGTCATGCCGCGCCGTCTGCCACCCCACATCAAAATTGATGTTGCGCAAGCGCACAGTCTCACGCCTGCAACGTGACCGGTGCTGACCCCCCTTCTTTCGTCATCACACGCAGGTCAGCCGCAGACGTACGAGTGCGAGGTCCCGCTGCCGCTGACCCTGGCGTACGACGTGGCACCGCCAAACAAGACTGCCCAGCACAAGATCACCATCGCCACCAACCACACGTGCATCACCATGAACGAGCTGTTTCCTGGTGCGGTGTGCTGCTGCTGCTACTGCTGTAGTAACAATGCTGCTTGGATATTGTGTGTGTGTGTGTGCCTGTCTCGATGCAATTTGTCGCGAACATGCGTTTACGATGTGAACAGCCCACGCAGATACACACGTGCTTGCACTTTACACATGCTCTCACTCGCCCGACCGCATATCCACACCACACACGCAAACCCCATTCCATCCCCTCTTTCTTACATTCATCCACCCGCCCCCCCCCCACACACACACACACCAGAGCTTCTTCGGGGCCACGAGATGACGCCTGCGATTGGGTTCCGGCTGCGGGACACGGACGAGGTGGCGACGGTGATATCTGCCAAGACGTCATCACGCTATCGGATACAGGCGGACTCGTGGTCCACGATGGCGGGTGTCCTCGTCGCCGTCACGCGCGCACTCCGCCAGCATTTTAGGTTGCATAACAGAGGGCAGGGAGATGGATGGGGTGGGAGCTCGGTCGTGGTGGTGATGGTGGGGAAGGCACGATAGGCACTTTTGCCTGATCATACTCTCGTTGAATACATCAGTGCTGCACACACACACACACACACACACACACACACACACACACCTCTCTCTCTCTCTCTCTCTCTCTCTCTCTCTCTCTCTCTTTCTGTGACTCACACGCATCCATACACCACACACGGTCTGCGGTTGGTGTTTGTGCCCAGCGGGTCCACACCGCCGCTGGCAATCAGCATGAAGGAGCTGCCCTCGCTCTCACCGCTCTTCACCGCCATCGACACACACTTCCACGTCCGTTTGGCCACAGTGACAGGGGCTATAGAGAAAGGGGGGGGGTGTGTGGTGGTCCGTGGTTCGTGCAGGAACTAGTGCTGGTGTGCAGATTCGGGGGGGGGGGGGGGTTTCAACTGAGTGTCGTTTGTAACACGCACCCACCAAAACACACACACGCACCCACCAAAACACACACACACACACACCAAAACACACACACATACACATACACACACACACACACACACACATACCCCAACAACCGTTGCTGCTGCTGCAGATACGGCGGGCGAAGGCGGAGATGGCGGCTGCGCTCGGGGAGCAGGCAACGCAGTTCCGCTCCCTGCAGAAGCGGCTTCTCGCCCGCGTTAAGGTCGGAAGCCGCGGTTGTGGCCGTGGTGTGTGTGTGTGTGTGTGTGTGTGTGTGTGTGTGTGTGTGTGTGTGTGTGTGTGTGTGTGTGTGTGTGTGTGTGTGTTAAAGAACGTGGATGTGTTTTTGTAGTGTGCTAGTTGTGTGCATGTGTGGTTTGCTCTACGTTGCTTTGTGCTCGCTTTGCTTTCATGGGGCGTGTTTGAATGCCTCATCATTTCGCCATCACCACCGAACTGCTGTGCCTGCACGCAATTTCGAAACGTTCCACCCCGCACCAGGACGTCACGCCCTCTCCCATTGACCAGATGTCGTCGCTGCTCGAGGCAACACAGCACGAGGTACACATGCGCTGGCTGTGTGTTGTTGTTGCTGGTGGCGGACCGGGTGAGGAGATAGCGCCAGCTTCCGGCCACCACAGCACAAATGGAAGCAACACACACACACACACACACATTTATACATGTACATATACACTCACACACGCACGCACGCACGCACACACACACACGCACAACATATACACGTGCACATTTTACCTCACCGTATTACCACCTCACCGTCAGATTGGGGAGGTCTCTGAGCAC